ACTCCTGTCATATCTTACTGTTCTGGTTTTACTCCTGATCAAGAAAGTACTTAGACACAGACCTAAATTAAAAGAAGTACCATCATGCATCTTTCAGTTTTCCTACAGTATTAAAAAACCTCAATCAATTATGTAAATCTGCTGTGGTCCATTCTTACAATCATTGACTCTCAGAGTGTCTATGTATTTGTTCTGTACTAGCAACATATATAGTATTTTGAATAGCTAAGTTTCTTCATATGTAAAATTTTTGAAAAATAAGTATTTTAAAATGGTTTTAAGAGAACATTCAGTTCTTAAACTGACTGGAGTAGCTTTCATAACACTGACTCCCTCTAGAGTCAATAGAAAGAACAGTATTTTTTTTAATGAAGTGATTAAACATGATTTAAACTACAAATTTAGAAGTTGTGTCAGGAATACTGGTATTTTATTGTTTAATAGTGATAAAGTTGTTGGTGTAAATAGTCCTTAGTAGACAACTTATTCCTGCTTTATAATGATCTAATAAAACAAAACAATATTGAACTGTGTGACATTACCAGTCAGATCAAGTTTCTCAGCAAAGCACATCTGGGAATTTTATTCATGATCTTCAGGCTTGTGAAGGATTTAAATCCTCTTTTTTTGTCAGAGTTTTTATTTTATTTTTGCTAAGTGAATCTAAATTAATTATTAAAATATTATTAATTAATATTTTGAGGCATTCAGTGCCTCCTCTTCCATACGTTTTTTCTGTCACACAGTATCCCTTGTATAAACAGTGACAATATACTCTGCCAGAATTTTCATATGTTTAGTTTAATTTCTGGAGAACAACAGTACAAATATACTAAAGAAGGGATTATGTGACTCAAATAATACCACTATTTATTCAGGTGTTTTGTTTAATGCAGTGCAAAAGTGGCTTTCAAACTCAGTTAATTTACAGTTCATCTATCTATTAGTAAAACAACCACAGTGCCCGCATTCTTTCTTACAATGGTCATTTTATTAAATATGAGATTTGTCACGATAGTTAGATTTCACAGATAATACAAAACAAAAAGAAAAATGATAAATCTTCAATTTATTTCCCATGGTAACAAGTAGTTTTAAACATCTTGTTAAAATTAGGGTGGCTATCAGTAAGGTGTCTTTTTATTAACAGATGCTTTTTCTAATTTGTTTTAGTGTTTTTGTGGGATTAAACAATGATATTTCTCAGTAATCTTGAAAATGAGAAGTTAGGAAACCAATCTTTGTCATCTCTCATACTGTAAGTCAGTATGTTTCTTCAAAAATAATATCTGTGAAAAGATATAAATCCTGTATAATAATATTAAGCTATACTGTATATAAGTTTCATTTAAATATTCTTCAGTTTAATATTTGCTTAGTATTTAAAGATGTTTCAATTTCAATTTAATTTCAATTCACGAACAAAACATTTATGTCCTGCACTACAAATATATCTTAACTGTTAAAGTAAGCCCTTTTTACTTTTACTTTTTTAATAAATAGGGCATTTTACATCCATGCTAGGATTGAAAATGAAGGAATTGAGCAATATAATAAAACATTACATTTATGATGAAATCAGTAAGATTACATTTATTTACAAGTTAATCTGCTTGTGTTCTCTCTGTTTTACACCTACAGTACATGCATTTACCCATTACCTCAGAGTATGTTCTAGCGCATGAGCTAATCTCTAAACCACCTGTAACGTACTTAATAAAACTTTGTCTGCATGAATTATCTGGTCATTTTGCTCAATGGCTACAGCATTTACTGCTGTACTCCAAAATCTTATTGGTTCATTAAGGTTTTGATATTCCTCTAACTTTTTCTTCCAATTGTACACACTGCACACATTCATGTGTTCATTATATAGACATTTTTCTGCTTTTCATGAATACTCACACCCTCCTGTTCTTTTGAGATAATTGTGAGTACTCTGTATTCAGACACACTTCCTGAGCATAATACCATCATTCAGCGGGGGTAACCAATGTTCTCTACCAAGTGATGCAACATTTGCTCTCTCTTTCCTAGTCCACTAATTATAGCTAACTGGTCAGTTGGTATATAACATTTATTTATTTTCTCTTTTTTTATTATAAATGAAATATTATAAAAATATGATGTTTTTCAAATATAGTAAACAAAGCTTGCTAATTTAAAGAAATCCAACAATTTATCTTATGGATTTGCAAAATTTATGGATTGACAAAAACTGCAGAAATCACATGCAGTCTTGTGTTGGTTTTAACCCAGTATGTAGGGTTAGGAGACAATGAGACAAATATAAGGAGGAGTGTATTTAATATTTTAGTGCTTGGAAATGACAGTGGGTGACATGTAGGCTTAATGTTTATCATTACAGGTTAGTGCTACAGTTCTTGGTTCATTTTGGGACCTGGGGTGCTATCTGCATGGAGTTTGTATGTTTTCCTGATGTTTGCTAAGCAGTGCACAGCAGTTAGATGTTTATACTAAAAAACAGTGGAAGTACAATCTTCAACCAGAGAATGTGCACTGTGCCATGGAATTAACATAGGCTGTGTATAATGCAGGCAATTGTTCAAGTATAGACCTGTTGCCTCTGCTGCTGGTACTGCAACTGGGGCATGGGTACTGTGGACAGTGAGGGCTGTGAATGAGAAGCCTTGACCCAATACAGATAGATCCAGTGTCCTCAGACTCTTGGGGAGGAGTGGAGATGAGAGACTGGACGCTTGACCAAAATCTGAGGGGGGGGAAGGCAGAGAACAGATGTAGTGTGGAGTGTATAAAAGAGAGCACGGAAGGATAGAGAAATTGGAAATGGGAGAGAAAGCTAACATTGTTGTTCCAGAGTATCAGGAGAATCAGAAGTAAAGAGGACAAATCATGGCAGTCACAAGGATCTGGTTGTTTTCCATGAAGAGGTTGAAATTTCAGGACTGCTTGTTTAAAAAGAGTCATAAAACTGATTCAAAACCTGGCTTGGAAGAGGTCTGATCTAGATTGAGGTAGAAAGGCAAGCAAGCCAGAGGAGATGTTTAGGAGGGAAATGTGCAAGATTGACAAAGGTAAGGTCCAGCAATATAGAGTTATGAAAGGTATCTGTCACGATCAAGGAGTGCATAGCAGACAAATATTTATGTGAAAAAAAATGTAAGTGCAAGATTGTGAATTCCTTCCTTCTAAGTGTGAATTCCTTACTTCTGTTTATGTTTATTAATTTCAATGGAGAATATAAAATTCTGAGTATGATTTACGATGTCAATGACCAATATTTTCATCTACCGGAAATTCGGGGGTTTTGAGATGTTCATGCTAGGTAATCTTTAATCTCCACTGTAAGCAAGGAGCTAGCAACTTTTGGAAACAAGGGATAACAGACTGGTTGTAGCAGTTTACTGAAGAAAAATTGATCTGTTCTGCTCAGCCTTACAGTACATGCACATTAAATCAATGCCTGAGCAAATTGGTCAGGGGTTCAAGAAGCACTGAAGTATTTAAATACTTTACAAACTACTGCTCTTTATCTCAAATCTGTTCAGGCTGGAATGAAAAAAGAAGGTCAGATTTGTCCTCTTATATCCATTGGTTCAGCAGCTTCATAAGGTAATACTGGTGAAGAAAGGCCATTTACAAGTAAAAACAGAATTGTGACTTGGCCAAATGTATATAAATTGTTAGGTTGAGACAAAGTGATGCACAAGAATGGGGACAATGTCCTCTGTAGGATATTTTTCGTAACACTGTGATGCATATCTTTAAACATCAAATAATCTTAACTAGGCTAAATTTAGTTGTACATAGTAAGCATATACTGTATCTAATATTTAACAGGAGACGAATTTCCCTCTCTGTTCAATATTAAATTCCAGGATTATAATTTGATTGTTTTAATCAAGGGTCAATGCCATTGGTTTAACAGTCTGAAAGCACAAAATAGCCTCTTTCAACAAATTATGATGAGCAAGATGATTTCTGATTCATTACTGTGGCAGGAAATAATAAGAGATAGTATATCACTGATGATGAATGTTGTTCAGAGTATTAGTAAAGCTGGTGTTTAGATTCATTATATAAAGTAAGCCAATATACTTAAAGCAGCCTATGTTGAAAACATTCTGGGATGAAAGACCCATATTATTCTCATTTAAAGTAAGCATGGGTTTTTAATAACTATTTCCTCGTGATTATTCATTGCACAAATGTGACCCCTCCCCATCTCAAAAAAGACCCGTGTATCACAAGGGATTTCCCTTTTTCTGTGAATTTGCTGGCTCTAGCTGACTGACAATCTGCTCGTATTTTATCTCTAAATTACAGCAATTTGTAAACAAACTAGAGCACTGTAATTGCTGGCAAGAAAAAAGTTAGTAAATGAATATAATAGCTTCGTTCTATATTATCTTTGTGCCAAGTGTCTAATCTCGGATTTACTGTATTTAAACTTTCAAATTTCTTCAACTCCTCAAGGTTTGCAATCTCACATCATCAATTTACCAAACTACCACAAAGAGATACGTTTTGATACAAAAATACCTATTATTTTTCTTTTACAAAGAAAAGCCATCAGATTTAAAAGGAATAAAAAGTAACTACATCTTGCCTTAGATGTTTGTTAGAATATGATTATCTTCCGATATTTTTAGCATCTATGGTACTGATGCGCCTATACAAACTTCAAATCCCATTTGTGTAATAGAAAGTTGAAGTTCAAAACTGTTAACAGTGGTTTATTCTGGTATCAAGGCTAAAAAAATCGTGGAAAATATATCACAACACAGACAGACAGTACATGATAAACTTGTGAGCAAAAAATAAGGAAATGGATAAGAACGAATCAGAATCACTTGAAATAAATTAACGGAAAAATATCATTGTGAAGGAAGGTCCCCCATAATTCGATCTATAAATTGTAAATGTACGAGGGCTTCAATTTAAGTTAAAACAGTCAATGGGGTGTAGAATGCTCTGACGTTGTGGTCTCGCCTCCAAATAAACTTTCAGAAGCGAGCAGGAGACAGCAGTAAGTTGAAGCCTCACATCTCTGAGTAGATCCCAGACTTAGTGAATGGAAGTCATGCTTTTGGAGTGCAATACTCAAAAGAAGAGGATAAGAAACTAAACAAATTCGACGGTGGATAATTCAGACATCAGAATTTATTATACTAAGAAGATGAAATTCTAATAAGATCGAAGTTCTAATAAGTGATGGAAACTAAATCTAAACACACACGGAGCTTTGTTGAATAGAGCATCTCACTAGCTGGACGATAGAGATTACTTGTCACTGATGTTCATACGGGTGGAAATACTGAAAGAAGAAACTAAACCCAAGCCTCCTTACTTTGCTCCGATTAGTCGCAATTTAACACTTTTCAAGTCCTTCCCAATATTTTCCTATTGGATGGTGAAAGAAAACCACAGTTTCTAGGCAATTGTATATTTTAAAGATTTTTTTTTTCGTTTGCAGGATACTATCCATATATACGTATGGATTTTATTATGTTTATGACTTGAAAATGTTACTTCTACAACGGTCACGGTGTTTTCGGACCCTTCTTGACAATACTTCTCTTACATCTATGATTTTTTGGGAGTTTTGCTTCTTTTGGGGATAAAAAGGTAAATCGACGGATAAACTCATTGAAGGTACTGATATAAACAGAAGAAGAACCATCTCCAGGTTACTATGCAATTACGACAGTTATCCTTTGTTTTGATCTTCTTACATTGTATGGAATACATTGACAGCCAGCACGCCTCCAGAAGCAGGCAACATAGACGTAAGTATAATCTTCATATGATGCTTATTCACCTGTTTTGAAAAGATGTCGTTTCTTCACGTCTATTCACGGTTTGTGTTTGAGTATGATATACATGTTCAATGAGGCTACAGTACGTCTCCCCTATCCTGTTTTGCAAGGGGGTTATTGGACTAAAATACGTTTATTAATTAATAAAACAGAAATGACACATTCCTTCTTAATCCTTAATGTAACAAACTGCAAGTTATAATTCCGACATGTTATTTGATAATAAGTATTCCATATTTGTATATAAAAAAATCAAAGCAAATAACATAACACGTCGAAATAAATGAACATATTGAAGATTTGTTATATAGTTTATGCATATTAATCTGACATTTTATTTAATCCTCTGTATCAGACGAAAAACGTATGCACTCTCACGTTGTACAAGACTCCAACTCAGCTAGGACTAAATATAATAAGTTAATAATTACTGATACTGTATATGTAGTGCATCAAAAACTGCTTAATATTAATGGATGTTTATATACACATCCTAAAGTTAAATTTAAATCGCAACACGCTACTGAACCTCGCTGTTATTCTTGGAATTTTACCTTGTTTGTATGATATGGCCTCTTTCTAGGAATCTAACAAAAGTTAGTTGCATGTTCTGCATACCTTTTTTTATTTAAACAACGTATGAACTCTGCATATTTTTCATTTTGGTTTGTATCTTATACAGTACCTTCAGTTACAAAGCAATTTGATGGATCCAGAAACAGACTATCTGAAAATATATATACTGTATGGATAACTTCATTACTAAGACCTACCACCTCCTTCAATAAACTTAAGATCAGCAGACAGATGTATTAATAAATATTCAATCATGACCTCCAAGCAAAAGTAGTAGACTACATTATCATAAGCGAAAACCTGTCAATCATTTAATGAAAATGAAAAATTAAATTGGTGTTTTAACTGTTTATAAACATTGTTCAAATCAGTTCATGCTTTTTGAAATGATATATGTGAAACATTTAAAACTAAAGACACCCTATTGTCTTTAAGTACAAATAACTATAAGGTTTCGCTATGAGTAAACTAATAAGTGGAAAGAATTCGTTGTTTTCTTATCAAAAGCACCATTGACGCGCTGCTAAATTCAACCCATTGATTAACATTGAATCCCTCTGATCTCGATCTCTGTACCTTACATTTAGTGTATCTGTCTTATTAACTGTAAGTAAAACTTTCTAATAGTATTGACCAGTCCAGTCTATAGTCCTGTACTGTATGTATCATACATGCTACAGATAAAACATCGCTGCACTAACGCTGTCAGTGGGACGCCGCACGTTCACTCTTTCCTTAGTTGCGCATTTCGGTATTCTTGTGTATTGCGCCATCTGCAGCTATGAGACTGTAAATGCAGACTTTAATGTGCGTGCGTAGTTATGAGCACCGCACTATACACAACCAACGCAAACTATTTACTTTTAATACTTTTTAAGCTTATTGTAACTGAAGTAAACCCACAATTTCAGACCTATTATTTAAATGGTCGAGGTTAGTAGAAAAAGGTAAAATTATATTTAATTATTTAAAAGGTGATATTTACGTACAGTATGGATGTATGATCAAGGGTTCCTTTAAAATAAAACATGATAACTATTACAAGAAACAGCTTGGTCTTGAAAAGATTTAGGAATGTTTATCACCTCTCAGATATCAACAAGCACTCTAATGCTAACGAAAGACGTCATTCCTAGGATCTCCTAGGATTTCAGCAATCCTATGAAATTGGGATAAAACATTTATTGCTTTCAAGCAGCACTTTTACTTTAAAATGTACTTCAGTAATAACAAGTGCCTTTTGAAATGGTATAAGCTTTTACCTATATTAACATAAATCTTTTTATCCACACTCACACTTTTACAATTCACAACTCACAATTTTATTGAAGGAGTTACAATCATACTGTATTTATGATAGATCAAACAATAATGTTGGTTTTTTAACTTCCTTTACTTTTGACAAGATCCAGATTGTGTGTACCACATCACAGGCCATAATGTCTCCATCAATTATATATAGGATATACAGTAAAAGCATCTTGTGACAGTAGAGATAAACCAAGCATAACAACATTTTTAGATCTTTAAGCTAACATACATCTAGTTTCTTTATTTTTTGCTTTTTTAATTTGATGTAATTTTCACTGTTCTCCTCAGCACATTTTAATGGTACAAGGTAAGAATTAACTAGCAAGGATTTTCATAGAAATGCAAAATATTGCTCTGCTTTTGATTTGCAAATCACAGGTGTGCCTTGTGGTACATTCAACAATTAATTCATTAGTTATAGCACTTTAGGAAGTTACATACTGTAATACTGTATGTTTTAAGCACTTTACAATTTCAGTTTAAAATGAACATGAACATATTTAAAGTATTTTAAAGTTTTTATTGCAAATATTTTAGAAGATAATTTAATATTGAGACTGCTCACTTGTTCCTGGTGAAGGTATACAAACAATTGCAAATATTAATTATATTTTAAAATTAAATATATCATGCCATGAAACTGTTTTAAATTTTTGACAATTATCAATTGGACTTACTGCTGAATATTACTGATTGCTGAATATTCTTTGCCAAGTGCTGTATATACCAAAAATGTTTTGGCTACAGTCTAGCTATTTTTTAATTTTTTATCAGGGACTTTGTAGATTGCATATAATCGGTTCTTTTATAATCTTATCTTCCTTAAGTATCACTTATTTAAGACAATGATTTTTCTAACATGTATTAGCACATATTAGAAATGCAATTAATCAGTGTCATATTTAAGTTCAGTTCAATGTAATATGTTTTATTATTTTGCAAAATATCAACATTTTATTTATTACTGTACAGAGTTAAAATTAACAGTATTTTAAAAACAGCAATTGCATAGTATCATATTTTTAGAACTACTATTCCCTATAAAACATTACAGGGAAATGTTTAATGCTTATTAAGACTTTGCAGATGATAAACTGATTCATAGAATCAGTGCCCCTTGTCTCAAATAAAGAACAAAAAGGAACTTGGGGTCTCTGGTTACTCATACAGCCATGAATCAGGGTTGAGTCTGGAAGAGTGTTTTATTCCAAGTATAAGAAGCCGTGTGCCATAAATTAAAATAACACAGCAGGTACACTGATCATTCATCTTTAGAATTACTTTTGTAATTAGGTTAAAAAGTAGGCCTAAGATTGAAATCTATAATCCTTTTTCTCAACTCATATGAACTTTGATGGGATGAATCCTGATTAAGGCAGTCCTGTTTTTGACATTTTGTTTTAGGTAAATGTACTGTATACATTGGAAGCTTTTACATGCTGTATTTTCAGTTTGAGGTTTGTTTTGAATATGTTTTAGAATTTCCAGTCTCGTGATGTTATTACTCTTGCTACGCAAAGCTCAAAGGGGTCTGCCCAATAGCAGAACAGAAGTAGGAATTCTTTTAATTCAGGGTTCTGTGCATTGGAAAGTTTGGCAGGAATACATGAGGGCAAATGGACTGCAGTTGTAAAGTTTTCTTAGATATGTCAAACATATTTACAATGATGTATTGCAAACTGTGGTTGCCAGCCCTGAAAAACTTTTAAAGCTTATAAATTATATAGAACAAGGCCATAAAGAATATCAGATATTGGATGTTTTTTGCTTCAACAGATTTAGCTTAGTGACATATTACACCGTATTGTTTTTTTATTTTTCAGGTTTTCTAAAGTACATTTACTTTAACCAGGCAATTACATTGGCAAACTAATTACAAGACAAACATCAAACTTGGATAATTGTACTAATTTAATTAATAAGGTTATATACATATACAGTGCCTTGCAAAAGTATTCACCCCCTTTGGACATTTTCACCTTTTATTGTGTTACAGCATGGAACCATGATGGTTGTAACTGAGAATGTTTGCCACTCATCAACACAAAGTACTCTATAATGTCAAAGTGAAAACAAATCCAGACATTTTACTAAATTAATAAAAAATAAAAAAACTGAAAATAATTGAATACATAAGTATTCACCCCCTTGCTTTGACACACCTAAATTACCTCTGAAGTAACCAATTCTCTTCTTTATGTCACATAATTACTTGATTGGAGTCCACCTGTTTGCAGTTGAGGTATTTCACATGATTTCAGAATAAATACACCTGTGTCTGGGAGCTTCCCCACTTAGGTAGTGCATTTCCAAGGAAACACTACACCATGAAGACCAAGGAACATTCCAAGCAGATCTGAGACAAGGTTCTTGAAAAATACCAGTCAGGGCAAGGATGTAAGAAAATTTCCAAGGCATTGAATTTACCTCAAAGCACAGTGCAGTCCATCATTAAAAAAGTGAAAATACATTTGTGAATCTGCCCAGAACTGTCCGTCCTCCAAAACTGAGTGGAGAGCCGTAGTAAGGGAGAAACCAAGAGCCATATCACCCTGCAACTCACAACTGGCAACCCAGTGAAGCTAAGCAAGTGTGACCAGGGAGACCTCCTGGGTTGCTGCTGGAAGAGGTGTTAGTGGGGCCAGCAGGGGGTGCTCACCCTGTGGTCCGTGTGGGTCCTAATGCCCCAGTATAGTGATGGGGACACTATACTGTAAATAGGTGCTGTCCTTTGGATGAGACGTAAAACCGAGGTCCTGACTCTCTGTGGTCATTAAAAATCCAAGGCTGTTTCTCGAAAAGACTAGGGGTGTAACCCCGGCATCCTGGCCAAATTTCCCATTGGCCCTTACCAATCATGGCCTCCTAATAATCCCCATCTATGAATTGGCTTCATTACTCTGCTCTCCTCCCCACTGATAGCTGGTGTGTGGTGAGCGTTCTGGCGCACTATGGCTGCCGTCGCATCATCCAGCTGCACATTGGTGGTGGTGGAGGGGAGTCCCCATTGCCTGTAAAGCGCTTTGAGTGGAGTGTCCAGAAAAGCGCTATATAAGTGTAAGCAATTATAATTAATTATTAAC